GTGTTTGTTCGAGGAGCGCTTGGGAAAGAAGGCTGAGCTCATCATTAAAGATGCTTCCCATCCGCTAAACCCAAAGTTTGAACTTCTGCCGTCAGGACGGAGATATCGAGTGATATCAGCTAAGAAAAACATTTTTAAAAACTCCTTTGTGCCCAGAGCAGTGAAAGCGGTATACACTCTTAAGCTTTGAGCAGTCCTGAGCTTGACTCTTGTCTTTAGGCCGGAGGTGGCCTTGTTGGTTTGTTCTTCCAATTGTTCTGTGAATGTAGTGCCACATGATATTGTGCTGGATGTGTGTCTTTTATATATTTTAAGGTGATAACCAAAGGCAATTTTCCACCTTGGTGGACAATAAAGTTTTCTTATTCTTATTCTTATTCTTATTCAGCACAAACCGCTGAACTGGTCGCGCTCACCAGGGCTTGTGAGCTGGCAGCGGGCAAAACTGTTAACATATTCTGTGATAAGCGTTATGGTTTCTCTGTGGTGCACGACTGGGGGGCACTGTGGAAACACCGCAATTTAATTCTTAATTCCACACAGGTTGAACATCTGCTGAAAGCTGTAATGTTGCCCTTAGAGATCGCTGTATGCAAATGCCAGGCCCACACTAATGCCACTGACCCCATCTCTGCAGGGAATCGGCGCGCGGACAAGGCAGCGAAGGCAGCGGCATACTCACCTCTACCCACACACACACACTACCTCACTCAAGACGTTGATATTTTCTCCTCTCTGTCAGCAATGCTGGCACTGGCTACTCCAGCAGAGACGGTGCTGTGGGAGGGAAATGGGGCTCAACGACGGCATGGTGTGTGGCTGGGACCGGACCTCAAACCGTGCTTACCACGGCATTTCTTCAGACATTTTGCAACTTTAGCACATGGCCGAGACCATGCCTCAAAAGGAGGGATGTGTAATTTAATCACACAAAATTGGTATACAAAGGGGTTTACGGCATTTGCACAGAGATTCTGCCAAACATGCGCTATCTGCCTCGCGCACAACCCAGGTAAGTCCCAAATTATCCAACAGGCTGCCCATCCTCCGCCCCTGCGCCCATTTCAACATGTCCAAAGGGACTTTGTTGAACTCACACCATGCCAAGGTAAGAAATACTGTCTGGTTCTGGCGGATCTCTGGTCCAAATGGACTGAAGTATTTGCATGCAAACACTCCACGAGCAACGCGGTGGTGAAAGCTCTGCTCACAGAAATTGTGCCACGATGGGGTGTTCCGAGAAAAAAAAATCTCTAGTGACAATGGCAGTCACTTTGTAGCAAAAGTCATTGAGGAAGTAGGTGAATTTCTGGGCATTGATATACGTAAACACTGCAGTTACGCCCCCTGGAGCGGAGGCGCGTGCGAGCGAGAGAATGGCACTCTGAAAAACAAACTTGTTAAAATCTGCGAACAGACAGACCTGTCTTGGATCAAAGCTCTGCCGCTAGCCCTCATGTACATGCGCATGAGAGCCAGGTCAAGGTCAAACCTAAGCCCATTCGAAATCCTCTGTGCCAGACCACCCAACTTGGGCGCGGGACCCCCGAACAGAGATCTGCCAAGCACCTCTTTGTGTGATGACGACATGCTGTCCTATTGTAAGGAAATTAATGCACTTTTGCCCTCTATTTCTGCCCAGGTCAGGAGCGCCCTGCCACAGGCTGCGCAGGCGGCTCCGCACAAGATCAAGCCAGGCGACTGGGTCCTGGTGAAGGAAACAAGACGACAGCATTGGCGGTCCAAGCGCTGGCTGGGCCCATTCCTCGTCCTCCTGGTGACGGACACTGCCGTTACCACTGTCGTGCGGTGCTGCCACTGAGGGCCATAGACGAGGACACCGAGGGTGGGGACGGACCAGGCCCATCCGCGGCTCCCTACGCTGAAGAGGTCGGTCGGCGTGCGACCACCGTCGGTGAAGCAGGCCAACAACAACACCCAGAGAATCCCAGCGTTCCCGAGGCGACCCCCCTTTGCCCAACTCCCCTGCCTCCGAATCCCGAGACGACCCCCTGTGGGGCACTAATGTACCCGATGACCACAAATTATGGACCACAGGCCAGAAAATAATGTTAGCATTATTCCCCAGCCTGGGTGTAGGTAAACTAATGCTAAGGACGGAGACCCTGAGCTATAGGTTCTCAGGTTTTGTCAATACCACAGTGGCCATACTTGAATCACAGAGAGTTGAACTTCACGACCTACGTGCCGTTGTTCTTCAGGACCGGTTGGTCCTGGACCACCTGACCGCGTCTGTGGGAGGCGTATGCAAGATCATTGGGTCGTCCTGCTGTACATATATTCCGGCTAATGATGAGGACGGAGGTCTTATCCAACAGGGCATAGCCAATCTGACTAGACTCCGGGACGCCATGCAAGCGGACAATGTCACAGACACTCCTCACGGTCTGGACTGGCTCCTGTCCTCCTGGCGGAGTGTGCTCATTAATCTTGGTTTAGCCCTACTGACTGTTATGATTTTATTTTCATGTGTATTACCTATGGTGTTTCGGGCCGTTGGTAAAATGATATCCACTCACTTTGTGTCCATTCAATACAAAGACCCCGAGGCGGACCTGGCCGCTGTCCCACTGAACTCCGATCCTGATTATATCAGCGATTCGGACGATGACTTTGTCTAACGTTTTTCTTTCTTGTTTACCTTGTTTTTATTTTTCCACTTGTTTTGCTCAGGGACCAAGGTCAATACTCACCCACCTGAATGTGATCTCTGTAAAACTGGGGTTTCTACATTATCACGGGAGAGGAGTGTGATGGCAAGCTGCCCCCCCCCCCCCCCCCCCCCGCTGGTTCTATTCAATTAACCTGCAGGAAGGAGCCGGGCTTCCCCCCGCACCTACAGACAATGACTGTCTCACCCTTGTCCCTTTTGCATCTTGCATCTGTATGTCTGCATCTCTACATCCTGCATGTCCATTGTCTCTCTGTTTGCATCTCTATGGCACGGTCTGATTGCCTCCCCACGGGCATGGCGCCTCGCCTCTGGATGCGCCTCCTGTACTGGTGACCCCCTCCCATCTTTTGTGGGCGTGACTGTCTTTCATGTGTTGTCTATGTAAACAGGAACCTGGTCTGGCCGCGTTAGAGCTTATGGACGCTGCTTTGTGTATGTGAGCTCTCCGCACGTGTGTACAATAAACTTACGCTCCTGATTAAGACAAATACCTTTTGAGCTTTTTCCTTACTGTGGATAGAAACTTCTATAACAGAGCCTAGAGAGAGACTAGAGAGAGACCAGAGAGAGACTAGAGAGAGACCAGAGAGAGACCAGAGAGAGACTAGAGAGAGACTAGAGAGAGACCAGAGAGAGACCAGAGAGAGACCAGAGAGAGACCAGAGAGAGACTAGAGAGAGACCAGAGAGAGACCAGAGAGAGCCTAGAGAGAGACTAGAGAGAGACCAGAGAGAGACTAGAGAGAGACCAGAGAGAGACCAGAGAGAGACTAGAGAGAGACCAGAGAGAGACCAGAGAGACCAGAGAGAGACCAGAGAGAGACTAGAGAGAGACCAGAGAGAGACCAGAGAGAGACCAGAGAGAGACTAGAGAGAGACCAGAGAGAGACCAGAGAGAGACTAGAAAGATACCAGAGAGAGACCAGAGAGAGACCAGAGAGAGACCAGAGAGAGACTAGAGAGAGACCAGAGAGAGACCAGAGAGAGGACCAGAGAGAGCCTAGAGAGAGACTAGAGAGAGACCAGAGAGAGACTAGAGAGAGACCAGAGAGAGACCAGAGAGAGACTAGAGAGAGACCAGAGAGAGACTAGAGAGAGACTAGAGAGAGACCAGAGAGAGACCAGAGAGAGACTAGAGAGAGACCAGAGAGAGACCAGAGAGAGACTAGAGAGAGACCAGAGAGAGACCAGAGAGAGACCAGAGAGAGACCAGAGAGAGACCAGAGAGAGACCAGAGAGAGACTAGAAAGAGACCAGAGAGAGACCAGAGAGAGACCAGAGAGAGACCAGAGAGAGACCAGAGAGAGACCAGAGAGAGACCAGAGAGAGACCAGAGAGAGACCAGAGAGAGACTAGAGAGAGACCAGAGAGAGACTAGAGAGAGACTAGAGAGAGACCAGAGATAGACTAGAGAGAGACCAGAGAGAGACCAGAGAGAGACTAGAGAGAGACCAGAGAGAGACTAGAGAGAGACCAGAGAGAGACTAGAGAGAGACCAGATAGAGACTAGAGAGAGACCAGAGAGAGACCAGAGAGAGACTATAGAGAGACTATAGAGAGACCAGAGAGAGACCAGAGAGAGACCAGAGAGAGACCAGAGAGAGACCAGAGAGAGACTAGAGAGAGACCAGAGAGAGACTAGAAAGAGACCAGAGAGAGACCAGAGAGAGACTAGAGAGAGAGAAAGACCAGAGAGAGACTAGAAAGAGACCAGAGAGAGATGCTCTGCTCTGAAAGAGGACTGTAAGCTGCATGTTCTGAGGTTCTTTATGAATCCAGACTCAAACTGAGCACTTGAAATAATCCATGACTCTTCTGCCCCCTGAAAAGGCCATGTTCCAGCTTCTTCCCTCTGGCAGAAGATATAATATATGCAGGACATCTCGCTTTGCAAACAGCTTCTTTCCACAAACTGTTATCAGTTTTAACTTATAAGCACTTGTATTAAACTGTTTTTGTTTATTGGTTTCACAGTGATTGTTTCTTGTACTGATACCTTGTTTTATTCTATATATTTGTCTGGTGTGGTACTTTTGCAATGTATTCCAATGTGGTTTTACTGCAAATGGCAAATATAATCTAAATCTAAATCTGAATGTGAATGATACATTGTTTAATGGATGGATGTGTTTCTGCCCTTTGAAATAAATAAGCACATGAAAAGAAAATGCTGGACACCTCAATTTCTCCTAGAGGGGTCCAACAAAGTATCTATCTATGTTTATCATATCGGCACTCTCTGAAAGGCACCCAACCATTGGAAGTCCCCTGGTAATATTCCATGGGCCTTCAGTCACACCACTCACCTCTGGCTGTGGACACCAGGCCCTTGGCTCCGAGGCTCCATCCGGCCAGCGCCTCGTCCCCCTGACCGCTGAGCCCCATGAGGGTGGCCTTGGACAGTTTATAGGGCCAGTACCCCGCCACGGCCAGAGCAGTGCCCACCACCACCACCAGCAGCCCCAGCAGGATGAAGGCCCCTGGCAGAGAGCGCATCCTCAGCTTCCCCCGGATGGCTCCGCCTTTCTTCCTGCGGCCCCGAAGACCGAAGCAGGACCTGCGGCGCTGGGACGGAGACGACGGCTCCTCCTGGGACTTCTTACACCTCATGACACAGACGCCTCAGCTCGCCCAGGTGCACTGTGGGCACACAGACATAATGCACTTTAAAGGGCCAGATCCATAAACATAATAGTAATAACAATGCATCGCTTTTATACGTCGCTTTTCAGGACACACAAAAATGCTTTGAGTGCCTTTATTCTTTCACTTCATACACATTGAGGATAAACTACAACTTTATCCTTACTGTGTATGCCCCAGGAAGGCTGTAGTCACAGCTGTCCTGGGGCACACTGACAGAAGTGAGGCAGCCAGTATGTGCCATCGGCCCCTCAGACCACGACCAACCATTCATACACACCCTTGCCTAAGGGCACAATGACAGTTTGGCATTATCCAATCACAGCCACCTACTGTGGCACCCAGAGGTCTCACATCACAGTACTAACCAGGACCTGCCTGGCTTAGTTTCATAGGTCTGAAGGGATCTTGCTTTTACAGGTATGGCCACGACATACCATAAACCTTAAAGGAGAAGTACAATAATTATTTATGTTAATTGTATAATATTTGTTGGTATTTCATGTTTGAGAAAGTGAAATCCTTTGGAAGTAGAACATATTAACTGTCAGTAACCATCAATGATACATCACTTTAAAGCGTTTGAGCGACAAACACAATAATTGACGAGTGGCCCCCACTCGTTTCACTGGGCTCCTTGGTTTATCATCTTTATTACAAATGCAAAATATCACGTGTTTTTTAATACAATGAAGACCGCATGTGGTCTTATTGTTCACAAAATATAACTTTTCAAATCAATATTTATGTCTAAAGGTCAGATAACTTCTCATTTAGTCCTGGTTTAGTCCTTATTCATTTCTGGTGCAGTTCTAGTTTGAAGTTCTAGTCAGTTCTATTGTTTTGTCCTGGTCCAGTCCTAGTGTAGTCCTTGTACAGTCTGATCCAGACCTGATTCCGACCTGCATAAGTAGATCTTTTTAATGAGTCTAAAACTATATAATTGATGGCAGTGGGATCCATTATTCAGTGACTGTCAGTACAGTTTTATAATCTATGTCCGTGAGATTCATTTCATGCTTTACCTTCTGATCTAAATGTGCAGTGATTTGTAACAGGAGAGAGCAATTATTTTACGATCTAAGCGAGATGATTTCTACGACAATTTTAAATGAAAGTTTAAACTGCAGCTATATACAGACTTGTCCATAAGACCACTGGAAGAACTTCTGCAGAGGTCTCAAAAGACTGAGAGAGTCCAGGCCAATTCATAGAGCTACAAAATTGCACAATATTGCACGATGCTATTTTAAAGCAATTGTACATGTGAAAAAGTCGTGACTGGGAAGTGTAGCGCCTGACGCTGGAAGTGGGATGTAAATGGCCGTTTATCTTTTGCACCAATCCATTCATAGGTAGATTCCAGAACATAATTTTACAACTCAAACGGAGCAGTATTTACAGATGTCAATTTCAGCTTTATTTGTTAAGCACATTTACAACACCACACTAGCCACCCAGAGCACTTCACAGCCACGAAAGATACATAATAAAAGCAAACAGCTTTTAAAATACATAAACATACATGTCAAAGGTAAAACTCAGTTGGTATTAAGAGCCAAGGTGTTAAAATGTGTTTTTAGACTAGATTTAAATATTTTGTAATATATATAAATCAATATTATCAGGATGTCCTCAAACAGATTCACTCCAGCTTTATCTGGGTCCATTTCCACTAAGACGTCTTACAGCCAGATACAGTTTGAGGCACAGAAAAGTGACACAATACAAGTTAAAGGGAGACCAAATGTGTTCTGCTAAATGTTATTTTTTTTCCCCATGTTACAAAATTGTTACTCATCAAAAACAGACCAGGAGTTATTTTCAGTTTCAGCATATCAAAAACTGCTGGAACAAACATCTCTGCCGCCCTTTTGTCTAACTTCCCCACAATGTTTAGATTGAGAGATCCTTAATGCGTCCCACAGTGGATAAATGTCAGTGTTGCATCACCAGTTACAGAACAGTGGGAATGAGGAGAACACAGCACAAGATTAATGAACAATAACTCTAAAACAAAATAAAATAAAATCTCTAACTCTAGCATAAAAAAGAAGCAGTATTAAATCTCTATATTTGGATTAATAAAGTTATGAATAATAAAGTTAATAAAAGTGTGAAGAAGATGACAAAGTCTGGGATCGTGTCTTTAATTCAGACAGAAGACATGTTTTATTGTCGTTGGTAGAGACAGCACGAACCAAGATGTTACAGACTGCAAGTGATAAAATACAGCATGGAGGAATGAACACCGTCCAATCAGCTTTCGCCGCGATGCCAGTAGCATGGCCTTCAGAAATCAAAACATGCTGTGAAAAAGCACTGGCTTGTGCATATGTTAGAATGAGTTAGAACTTTATCCACAGTTGCTTCAAGGTGTCATGAAATCTCTAAACGTGCATAATAAATGTAAATAATTTAGTTGTGGACTGTGCTGTTGTGTGTTGCCAAATGAACTTTGAAAGTGTCTTCAGTTGTTTGACATGTGTGCCTTCACTTCAACCTCAACCCCAGAAGAATTAAAATCAATTTGAACATTTAAAAACATGACATTAACTCCATTATTTCATCCAACACTGGCACCAAACAACATGAGGAAGTGTACTCCTGAGACTCCCCCAGGCGCACTCAAACTGAAATTCTATTATGAACAACAAAGCCGCCATAAAGCATAAAAAACAGATCTGGGAGTCACTTTGAACATTAAAAGAGCTGTGAAGTTACAGCAACAAAGCAGTCATAAACAGAAGAAAAGCCAAAAACTCCAAATTCACTGTGAAATGTATGACGTCGTCCTTCAGCTGAAGTTAGTGATACGCAGTTTTTTTTTCGTCTCTTTTTGGTAAAGATCTGTCATTACATCACAACCACGACTGACCAGTGGACAGACTACAGGAGCCTTTTAAGGACACACTGGGTGATTGCATTAGGAGCCTGGATCAGAGCCCAAAAGCTGTGTGCGTGTGTGTGTGTGTGTGTGTGTGTGTGTGTGTGTGTGTGTGTGTGTGCATGTGCGTGTCCGTGCGTGTGTGTGTGTGTTGAGGTCCAAGTGCAGCCCACAGAAGACACTGGGCCCGGGGGGAGACCACGCATTGGGATCCCCTCCGAGAACCGAGATATGGAGCAATCCCAACAGTGCAACAATAGCAAAGATTTCTGAACATTGCTGTTGCTTTAACATTAAATAAAAGTTCTGTGTCGTTTCAAGATCCAAGCTCCAAAGATAGAGTGAGGGTTGAGGGAATGGGTGTAATATATAAAAGCACTGAGTTATGACAAGTACATTATAAATACAGTCTATAAAGAATAATGACAAGAGCTCTTCTAAGTAACACGTAATAGAGCGGCGGATGACTGCAGCTTCAGGCTCCACTGAGAATAGAATAGTTTGATGAGACGAATCTTATCTGTTGGAATTTTCACCCTGGACGCCTGCTCCTTTCACACTGAGTCACTTTAGGTCCGGTGTGCAAAAATGACTCAGCAATCAACCCTCCTAAAATTTTCGCCAACCAACCAAATCAGGAGTTTAGACAACCATACAGAAAGTGTTCTCAGGCGTTGCTTACATGTGGGTCAGGCGAAGAGGGTTATAAAACTACACACAAATCGCACAAGGGACGATGCTTTAATGAACTTGTTTGGGTGAGTGAAGCTCAGAGTCTGGCCTTTTGCGTGTGCTGCTTTTTCCTTTATAAAGTTGTCCCGTAGTTAATCATTCACCTAAATGGTCTATGAATCTATCTTGGACAATCTGAGTGATTTGATCTATGCCAAATGTGACATGTAATTTTCTCCAGTGTGAGATCAATAAAGTCTATGTCATCTATCTTAGCGCTTTTCCTACACAAGGAAACACAAAGGGCTTTCGAGCCAATATCACATCACAAACGTTAAACTCTCACAGGGCAGACAAACAAACATCAAGGCCACATGGAATATTTAGAACATTAAAATCACACAAGGGATTAAAATCATAAATATTTACAGTGCATTAAAAGGAGATTAAATCATTCGGTTGTATGCACAGAGAAACTGAACTGTCTTTTAGCTGAATAAATCTCCATGTACTGTACTGTACTGACTCTGGGCACCAGCAGGAGGCCAGTCCCTGTGCTCCTCAGAGTCCCAGCAGGAGGCCATTCCCTGTGCTCCTCAGAGTCCAAGCATGAGGCCAGTCCCTGTGCTTCTCAGAGTCCCAGCAGGAGGCCAGTCCCTGTGCTCCTCAGAGTCCCAGCAGGAGGCCAGTCCCTGTGCTCCTCAGAGTCCCAGCAGGAGGCCCGTCCCTGTGGTCCTCAGAGTCCCAGCAGGAGGCCCGTCCCTGTGCTCCTCAGAGTCCCAGCAGAAGGCCAGTCCCTGTGCTCCTCAGAGTCCAAGCAGGAGGCCAGTCCCTGTGCTCATCAGAGTCCAAGCATGAGGCCATTCCCTGTGCTCCTCAGAGTCCCAGCAGGAGGCCAGTCCCTGTGCTCCTCAGAGTCCAAGCAGGAGGCCAGTCCCTGTGCTCCTCAGAGTCCCAGCATGAGGCCAGTCCCTGTGCTCCTCAAAGTCCCAGCAGGAGGCCACACCTCACTATTACAATTCCCTCTGGTCCTTGGTGCATTGTTTTGACACATTGCCTTCTGTCCGTGAGAGAAGGAGCTGAGGCATTTTTTTATTGGGTGAAACTATATTTCAATAGCACTAAAATGTTGTTTGGCTTCTGCAAAAACAAATGCTTGGTCAGAAGAAATGAGTGAGTCACATATTTTTCAAATGGCGCTTATCCTAAAATAATGATTTCTTCACTTATACTGACAACTGTAAATGCACTGTGCTTTTGTTTGGAGCAGCCTGTATACAAACAGTATATTGTTGGACCAGAACTGTATTCAGAATGCATGACTCTTTCTTTGGGTGGTGTATACTGTACTGTTTGTCTGTTTTTATTTTGACTCTGATTTATTGTTTTTTATTTTAGCTTTAAGCTTTTTATTGTTTCATGTTTTTGAGCGTCCAAAAAATGCGCCGTCTATAATTACGATGTAATACAATTCATCATTATTATAGTTGAATATGCAATTTAGACATAATAATATCCTATTATATATATTACGATCATAATTATTATCATTATGCTGTATAATCATGTCGCATCTGGGTGTTTTATCTTTTTCTAATATACAATAAGCACAAACGGTGCATTAAATATGGTGCAAAGTTATAATAATCCATCACAGCATTGTCTGACAGTATGATGCAACTGAGCGTTCAAGTATTCCAAGTATTCAGAATACAGTACTATGATGGGACCACGTGACAGCATACATTAAAATGATTACAATATATTTAAATGCAGGTTTTCAATACATAATCAAGTATTCTGCTCCACACTGTCTGCAGCATATACATATATAAGCCCTGGAGCAAAAACAGCCTCGTCTCCACCAGCCACGTCCTCCTCCTCATCCCCCCAAAATACCCCCCGACCGCTGGTGCGCTTTCGCCGGCTCCGCTCACAGCCTCCTCCCCTCGGACCGAGCGCTCCTCCACTCCCGCTCGTCTCTAACTTCATCCCTATCTCCTCTTTGCACCGTGCGCGCCTGAATGACTGACCTGCTGGTGCTCGGATAGCCGCCCGCTGCCGACGCTTGCATGCCCAGGTTTCAGTGCAGTCCCGGGGGGCCGCAGTGTGCCATGGTGAACCCGGCTCCGGGGGTCTGCGGCGCGGGGACGGTCCTCTGTGCGGTGCGTGTGCGGAGAGGAGCGCGCACCAGCCGCTGTGACCGGAGCGAGTGCAGCGAGAGCGGGGAAACAGGAGAGGGAGTGGGGTGGGGGGTTGGAGGGTGGAGGGCGCAAGTGACGTAGACAGAGGGGGGATTCTCACTTGTTGAGACGCGGCCCGTGAGTGCAGTGCCGGTTCTATACAGTCCACAGGGGGCCCAAATGGGATGACGTTTTATATTTCATTGTTTGCATCTGTCATTTTTTATAATCATGAAGGTTTTTTGACCAAATAATGTCTTGACAAGGCCTTACATACATAAACACATTGTAAAACTGCTCAGATAAACTACTACTTCTACTACAACTACTTTTTTTGCGTATATGAGTTTGTTACATATTTCTATTAACAAACTGAGTCCAGCTGCTGGGATTGAAACACAACTGAACAAAAAACAATGAGGCTTTGTTTTGACATACATTACATTATTGCTTATTAATTGATAAATTAGTCAGGTTTCAGGCCGCACTGACATTAAAGTTTGATGTCCGCTAAGGGGCATATTTGAGACCACTGTTTAGGGGTCCAGTGGAACAAGTGTGCAGTTGGTTGGAACGAGGAGGTTCAAATTGGGATGAAGATTATAACGTGTTGAATAAGAAGACCTTTACAGTCACAAAGGTACCATGGGAGGGGAAATGGACTAAGAGGCTGTGTTGAGGCTCCATCATTTTTAAAATAATCATTTAATAAGTGTTTAACTGATCCCACTGAGCTAAAAATAGGTTTTTGTTTATGTCTGGAAAGAGTTTTGTAAAAGTACAATGTTGTGATGTGAACAAATCAGACCACAACTTGTGTCTTCAGCTTCTAAAAAAAAAAAAAAGGATTCAAGGTATTTTCATATATTTACTGCTGTAAATAGAGTGAAACTGTATAGACATTGAAACATTGGCAAAACTCCATTACTGTCTGACTCGCATTCAGGGGATATGTGAGGAACAAGTTCTTAAAGCGTTTGAAGTAGTTTTATTTTTAGTTGGTATACTGGTGCTAAATGGGAGCTCATACTGAGAGTAAAGAGCATAAGGGTCTGGGGTGATTTGCTTTTCCTTTTTAACAAGCAATCTCCTCAAATATCTGATGCAAAGATGAATGATTCTATCTCCAAACCACACAACTGCCATGTGTTCTGATGCTTCATAAAGATTCCTTTAACTCTATGACGCCATCTAGAGGGCAAGAAATACAATTGCTCATTTCCTTTCCGGGCACTGTCGCAACACAGTTTTACTTCATAACATGTGATAGGACCATGAGACACATGATTAGAAAGGAATGTCCATGTAGATATAAAGAAAAAGAAATAAAACATTGATATATTTTATTGCTGTTATCATTGGATTTCTCTTGCTTTCGCAAGGCACTGTACATATAACACACTTTAAGAATATTTGCAAGCCACTTTGGATAATGTCATATCCGCAGTTAGCAAACAAATATTGAGTAATCCGCGGAGTAGGTCCTGTTGAAAATGTGTCAATCTGATTGGGATGAAGTCGGTGGCTCACAATCACCAAACTCACCGCACGCCCCACACAATTTGCATGTGTGCTTTTGGATCCAAAAGGTTACCCCCCCTCCCCCCATCCATCCCAATTTTTCTTTCAACATGCCCTAGGACACCGGGTCAGCCACACGTCCATGTCTGCCCGGTGTCGTGCTCCCACCACCGGCTAGGGCCCCAGTGAGTGCAGTGTGGAGCTCGCCCGCTCCTCACGTCGCCGTGAGGGTTTCCACCAATCAAGGACTTCTCTGTCCAGAGTGCTGACCGTGGGACTCGAACCCCAGACTCCTGAACCGAGCTTTACATTGGCGGGTTGCTCTACCCATGCCGCCATGGTGATCAACCGTTTAAACTTGGACCAGATGTTATATTTAAAGCTGACTTGTATTTTGGGTGGAAATAACACACCCTGAGGCCAAACGTCAATATATTTTTATCTTTTGACCAGAGAGAAAATGTACGATGCACTCACTGACCACTTCAATTGGGCTAAACTAAAACCCTTCATTTTTATATTTGTCATTTCGGCGTCTGTGACGCGCGGCTCGTTGTCATGGAGACGCAGAGTGTATTCAAACTGCTGTTGGAGCGCTCCCACTAACTCATCTGTGTTTATGGCCAAAGCTGTGGTAAATGCACTGAGCGCCAGGGCACTGTCTAACACTAGTTTGTTGACACTTTTCCAGTTCAAAAGAACACCAGCAAATCTACACTGGGATTTACTATAGGCTTCCAACAGTCTAATGGTGATGTCTCATTGTGCAGGCGCTGAGGGAAAACACATCTGCCCATGAGAGTGCCTGACTGGGCAGTTTTGCTGCAGAGGATGAAGCGCCCCTCTGAATACAAGGCCACACTTCTGGACGTGTGAAAGATGCCTCGCCCTCCCCAGGAGATGCAGAGGTCCTTCCTCAAAGGGACAAGTTCCAGTATCTCAGCTCTTGTTCACTGTGAGGGAAGGAGCAGCGCAATATGCAATAGGGGAAGAGGGAAGTCTGGGCCTCTCTGCTCAGACTCCTGCCTCAGTGACCTGGCTCAGGGTAAAGTGGAAGAAAGTCTAGGGATGGATGACTCCAGAGGAGCCCAGAACAAGCGATCGAGGGACAGAGAGAGCTCAACAGAAGACTGCCCTGAAGCAATCCAAATGTGATCACATTAAACATCCAACTGCCAACAGCCAAATTCCCATCCAAAATGAAAATAGATAAAGTTCTACCTATTTTCAAAATAGGCTCTTTTGAAAATTATAGACCAATCTCGCTTTTGCCACAGATGTCAAAAATGGTAGAAAATCTATTTTCTGAACGCTCAAACAAGTACATAAACAAAAACGGCCTGCTACATGAAAACCAGTATGGCTTCAGAGAAAGATAAGGTAAGACTTCAACGGCTTCCAACTATAATCTACAAATACAATCTAAGAGGGCAAACCAATTTCAAGAAACATTGTGTTCGTAAATCCCTAAAGAGCTTGTTCATTACACGGCGTGGTGTGGATTTGTGGAATGAACTTGAAGAGAGCCTGAAAACTGCTAAAACCTTTTTAAACTTTAAAAAGCTGTACAAGTTAAGCATCTTTAAAGCATATGCCACTGGTGAGGGTTCACTGTATGTATGTGTGTATCCTTGATTCCACCAGCCACAGTGGGGCGGCTGCGGCCGTGAAGTGCCAAACTGCCGTTGTGTCCTTAGGCAAGACACTTCACCCCCATTGCCTAGAATGAGTCTGGTGTGTGTGAATGGTTGGTGGTGGTCGAAGGGGCCGATGGCACATACTGGTTGCCTCGCTTCTGTCAGTGTGCCCCAGGGCAGCTGTGGCTACAGTAGTAGTTTATCACCACCGTGTATGGAGGGAATGAATCATGACATGTAAAGCGTCTTTGAGTGTCCAGAAAAGCGCTATATAAAACCCATGCATTATTATTATTATTATTCTCAGGTACTTGTGTTTGGTGTTGTTTTCTTATTGATCACACACACACACACACACACACACTATGTGCGGGCACATGCACACTTCAGGTGTGTATGCGTGTGTGCGCAGACAAATACGCATCAAAGAATGACATTTGTTTGAATCTTGTCAATTCTTGCTGAATGGATTCTATGAACTGTAATCTATGAACCAGTAAGTAAGTAGTAAGTAAGTAAGTTTTTATTTATATACCGCCTTTTCACTGCAGATCTGAGTCTCAAAGCGGTTTACAATTGTTAATTTTGGGCATTTGTCTCTCACTCCACACAGAGATGGGAGCAGGGTTGCCAGTACAGGAAGCGCATGCCAGAACTATTGGACATATTTTTAGTGGTAGGGGAAACCGGAGTACCCGGAGGAAACCTACGCAGACACGGGGAGAACATGCAAACTCCACTCAGAAAGGCCCTGGTCCGACCGGGATTCGAACCCAGGACCTTCTTGCTGAGAGGCGAGAGTGCTATCCACTCAGCCGCCGTGCCGCCGTGAACCAGTGTGCTTCATGTTTATTCACGTCATCAGCAGTTATCTTATTTATTTTTTTGTAACAAGAGGGCAAGCACCCATAAGTATTTCTTTACTTCAGCTTGCTCCTTTTGAGCTCTATACAGTATTTTATTAACTTTTGATTGTATACTCAACTGCAGTTATGATTTGACTCTATATGTACTGTTCAAACAGCTCAAGTACAGTAAACAATAACAATAAACAAATAAGATTCAATTTGACTTGTTGTTGGCTTTTATTTCTCATTCAAATATCAGTGTGTTTGTGTTGAAGTGCAGTGTTACATCTCCCCAGCAGGGGGCAATCAAACCAGAGGTTTGCAGCAAAAGGTGGCGCTACAAAGTATTAGCGCAAGGGGGCCGAATAATATTGCACGCCCCACTTTTCAGTTTTTTATTTGTTGAAAAAGTTTAAATTATCCAATAAATTTTGTTCCACTTCACGATTGTGTCCCACTTGTTGTTGATTCTTGACAAAACATGTAATTTTTATATCTTTATGTTTGAAGCCTGAAATGTGGCGAAATGTTGAAAGGTTCAAGGGGGGCGAATACTTTCGCAAGGCACTGTACATATAACACATTTTAAGATGATTTGAAAGCCACTTTGGATAATGTCATACTTCCAATGACCTAAGAATGATAATAAAGAGAGGTAAAGGGTAAGAAGGTAGATTTTAGAAATTGGATTCACCCGAGAGTCGGCTGCCGCCGGAGAAACACAAGAAGAAAAGACGGGAGAATCCCGTTTGGTTTTACTTTTTCAAAGTCATTGGACTAATTTCCAAATGGAGGCTTACATATCTGCGCTCAAACTATTATCTGGACTTTAAAATGAAACTGGTCCGAACTGAAGTGGTCTGTGGAGTTCATTTATAAAGTAAGGCCCATAACACACTGTTAAATGTGACGCAAAACATATTCCGCAGTTAGCAAACAAATATTGAATAATCCGCGGAGTAGGTCCTGTTGAAAATGTGTCAATCTGATTGGGATGAAGTCGGTGGCTCACAATCACCAAACTCACCGCACGCCCCACACAATTTGCATGTGTGCTTTTGGATCCAAAAGGTTATCCCCCCATCCATCCATCCCAATTTTTCTTTCAACATGCCCTAGGACACCGGGTCAGCCACACGTCCATGTCTGCCCGGTGTCGTGCTCCCACCACCGGCTAGGGCCCCAGTGAGGGGTGATTTGCTTTTCCTTTTTAACAAGCAATCTCCTCAAATATCTGTTGCAAAGATGAATGATTCTATCTCCAAACCACACAACTGCCATGTGTTCTGATGCTTCATAAAGATTCCTTTAACTCTATGACGCCATCTAGAGGGCAAGAAATACAATACTGAAAAACAATACTGTCGCAACACAGTTGTACTTCATAACATGTGATAGGACCATGAAACACATGATTAGAAAGGAATGTCCATGTAGATATAAAAAAAGAAATAAAACGTTGATATATTGTATTGCTCCATGGTGCCTCAGCATTGCTGAGGTGTTCCCACTGTATCCCAGATCTGTGAAGATGTATGCAGTTTCAACGATTAAAAAAAAAGTGCAATAGTCTACATTTCAAGAGAGTAACAAACATGTCTCAGAGTGAGATGGCCACAGAGCAAAACTATTGTTGTTTTTTACAGGGATGAGAATGGGACATTTTTAAAATACTTTTACTTTTGAGCACAACCAACATGAAATAGTGTGGTATCCTTGTCATTAAAGAAGTCATAAACACCGGGTGGCTTACACGGGGGTTTAATCATCATCATGCAGCCAACAACATAACAGAGCATGAACCCGCCAAGTGCACTCTTATTATCACCCCTTATCCCACACTGCCACCTATAGGTTTGTGGTAAGATAACACTATCCTATATGACAAATAGTAGTGCAAGGGAAAATGTAGGTACCCTAGCTTTAATTTAGCGAGCTTAGTTGTGCTTTGGCAGGAGACACGGACACTTCCTGATACTCAATCATCCAGCTCTGTTTCTTGCAGGAGTGTAGTTATTGCGTGAACAGGTTACGCAAAGACACACAACAAGCAGAGAATAGTTCTGTACGCACAAACTTCATTGGAAGTGATGAGGTCAAAGTACTCCCAAAGTACCGAAATACAGGAATGCAAAAAATAATGATTTAATAATAATGATGAAATAAAAGTCAGCTGGTTGTATTATGTTAGACACTTGGTCACATCTACTCAAGTAATTTACATCAGAGAATGTCATTTGAGTATATTTTTAATGAACTGAATTTGAATTTAAAGTGCACTTGTTTTGAATGTAGGTCCCTAAATGAAATAACCTGTATAATATTGAGTAAATGCATATGTAAATATGTATTTATGTTCTTCTATGTACATTCTACATGAATGAATGAATATTTATTTATTATTGTGTCTTGCATACAACTGTATGAGCGGCCCTTTCATGGGCTTTTAAGACACCAATATAAGGACGCAGGATACAAAAATAACTTATTTGAATAAACAGAATTGCAGTTGCTTCCAGGCTTTACCAACATAAGTTGCCAATTTAAACACATTGGAATTAAACAAACATTTTAGCTCCTCATCATCACTACTCCAAAACAATTGAGGCTTTTTTAACAAACAGATCTCTAAACAAAAGATTACGAAGATCGAAATACAAAGGACAACACAAAACAAAACGTGTTTCATTTTCCACCTCTCCTAAGTCACAAAGTTTACAAAGTCGGTCTTCTTCGGGAGTCTGAGTAAAACTTCCCGTTTCTAAGGCCAGGGGGAGGGTTCCAGTACGCAACTGAGCAAGCAGAGATCTTTGATTTCTAACATAGAATTCTGCTTCACATACATCCTTCATTT